GCTGCCCTGGGTTGTTCTCTGGCTTTGAGCTGGAAGCAAAGATGGATTTGGAGGTAACCAAGTTCTGCCATGGTGGCAATTAGGAAAACTAACAAAACACCAGGAACATAGCTTTCACTATTTTTTTAATGTATGCTTTGCTGAAGCCAAAACTTCCTGTAGGAACATGATGTTTAAAGGAAAAATTTTCTGTTGAAATTTTTTGCAGGATTTGAAGGGATTGAAATATTCTTTGAAAGACAATACGTAGATATTCTGTTCCAGAAGCATTCATTCAGTGGGGTGTTATGCTCTGGCATTATAAAGCTTCAGAAACTGAAATGCAGTGAAGCCACATTTAAAATAAGTTGTTTTATGCAGAAACAATAAAATCTTTTCTGATTTTGATTTATTTCATTATCAAGCTCCTGCTTTGCTCAAGGGAACCTCCTCTTTCTCCCACCCACAGGTGAGAGAGGAGGTGGGATGATGTGGCAGGGGGCTGCCAGGGGCACGGTGCCCAAGCAGCCTCTGAGCACCCGGCTGTAGATCTGCAGCACAGCAGAGCGGGAACCCATTATTTTTGTGCCAGTGTGTGCAGGCCCTGGCAGTCCCTGTTTGTGTGTGCAGTGGGGCAGGAGGGCAGGAGGGCAGCAGGCGGGTGCTGCAGGGCAGCATGGCCGGGAGCTCAGGCTCGGGGGCAGCCGCAGGGCAGTGCGAGGCCTGCTCCCGGAGCACGCCGCGGCCGGGCTGCTGTCCGGCCCCGGTGCCGCGGGCAGGCGGCGGCAGGGCCCCGTCCCGGCCCTGACGGTGCCCCTCGGCCGGACCTGCAGCCCCGGCTGCACCAGGGCCCGATGCCATCAGCACTCGCGGGCGCTGACAGATGGACCCACGGACCCGGCGAGGGGCTGGCGGGGGCCGGAAACTCCTGATCCCTTTTTATCTGCCCTCAGCCTGCTCTCTCCTCTCCCTGTCACGCTCTGCGTCTCGCCTGGTATCTCACGCTCCTATTCCTGTGCCCTGCCGGCTGCTGGGGCTGCCCAGCCTCACAGCACTCTCTGGCCAGGCACAGGGTGAGGGTCTGCACCAGCCTGCCCTAGAACCTGCTGGGCTTGGTGCTCTGAGCGAGGGAAGGCACCACAGATGCCCCCATCCATGTCTGCATGCTGAGCATCAGCCACAGCGGCAGGCAGGTGCCTGGGACAGGGCTCCGTGGCTGCTGTGCATTGCAGGTTGGAGTGGGAGGGAAGGATCAGGCCCAGCTCAGTATCCTGTGAGGTCAAGGAGCCTTGCTGCTGTCTTCCTCAAATGTATCGCCTGCTCCTGGGCCAGGGTCCTGTTGGGTACCAGCTCAAAACTAATCATGAGCATTTCATCTGGCTCTCATGACATCCCCAATCCCCACTGCTCCATTGCAAACGCACTGTCCCAGCTGGGCAGGGTGGCAGTGGAGGGGTCAGGATCCACAGTTAATGTAGCTGCCCCTAAATGCACCACCAGAGATCAGCTAATCTGATAATTACAGCAACAAAAGCCATTTAGACAAACCATGACCTGACCTCCGGAGCTTGGAATGAAAACATTTTACCCTCCTCTGTCTGGATCCTGCACTGAGAAAACATCTGTATTTGGAGGATGCTGGGAAAACAGCCCCCGCACAGCACCCGCACTGGGGACAGCCTCAGCCCTGCTCCGTGCCACACACTGCTTGCACCCAGCCTCGGACTGGCATGGGCAGGCTGCTAAACCCTTGCTGTGATGCCAAGATCAACAGTGTCCCAGCACTGGACAGGGCACTCTGGAGAGGATGAGGCAGAGGCCAGAGGGGTGTGAGGGAGAATTTTGTGAGAGGAAGTGAATGGAATGGTGTCAGTGGAGCTCACCTTCATAAAAAGGTCTTTTTTCCAAGATCACATGAGGCTTGATGGTGTGAGGAGGCCATCACCTGGTCCCCAGTGGTCCCTGTATCCCTGCAGCAGGCTGAGCTCTGCAGGAGCCAGGCTGGCTGCTGAGCCCCCCTGCCTCTGGCTCCCAGGAGGAGCTGAGTGCGGGGGGCCCTGTCTGCATGCGGCACGGCCGTGCGTGCCTGGGGGCTTCTTCGCTCTCTGTAAGGTGTGCAAGCTTTCCCACTGAGTGGCAGGTCATTGCTGGCTGTCAGTCCAAGGCAGGAGATGAAGGGAGGGATGCCTCAGGGCTGGCTCCCATGTTCCTCCTGCTTTTACATACGTGTTGGTGGCACCCTTTGTGTAGGCTGAGGAGATGAAAGCTCAGGGCCAGAGGGATCTTGCTAACGCAAAGCCACCCAGCTCGGGGGCCCGACAGCCTGCTGCTTTGTCTCTTATTGTCTCATTCTTGCATCTGTTCCCAGCGGAGTCCCACTCCGTGCTGTCAAGGACATGGGACACCGGCTGAGCCAGAGGCACCAAGCGCTCTGGCAGGTAACTCCTGCTGGGTCAGCGACCCTGGCTTCGCAGGCACAGGCAGCGGCACAGACGGTTTGCAGCAGACTGGCAGCACTGAGCTCACACTGCCCAGCAGCTCCTGAGGAAGGGGGAAAAAACAGTGCTGATTTGGGGAAACTGCATTTTTTCTTGCAACAAGCATTGCTCAGCCTGCTCTGGCAGTCCCAGGCAGCAGCTTAGTGCAGCCAGCCTGGCAGGCAGCACCCCTATGCCTTTGTGACTTCCCTGTTCTGCACTGGGAAAGCACTTGGCCACGTCCCCAAGTATCCCAGTGCTCTTTGGAAAGTGGTAGGATTAGAAACCAGTAAGTGCAGTGAGAGCCTGATAGTCTGGGGACTCCCTAGCACTTCTGTCTGCTCCAGAAATAGGATCTGTCTGTTTTTCCCATTGCAGCATTCCACTTGTGCAGTGCTTTACTCTTTGTGAGCAGAAAACATGACTCACCCTGCAGTGGGCTACCCCCAGATCCCTCTGATGCCCTTGTTTTCATCAGCTGCTTCCTTGCCCAGTATCTCTCATTTAGCAGAATCCACTGACCTTGAGAAACCCAAGAGTTCTTCATCCAGTTGAGATTAGAGTTAATATTAGGGCTATAGTTAAGGGTAGGGTTAGATTTAAGGGTAGGGTTAGGGTTAGGGTTTGGATGCCCTGACAACAGCTTGGCCAGGTCAGGTGTTTACAGAGGGTCACAGCTATTGCAGAGAGCAGACCTCAGGCTCTTTTGGGGTTTCCATGCAGCTTTTTCTCAAGGCGTGAAAATGAAATGTTGTCCAAGTTGGACAAAAACCATCACCAGGGCCAAAGCTTTGGTTTAGCACTCCTGTTTTGCTCCTCTGCCTTTTTCATTATTCTGTTTTCTCTGAAGGCAGAAGTGCTGGCACGCTACTGTGCCGACAGACAGCTCTGCCTCTTCCCCACTCTATGCTAAGCAGAAAGTGAACTGTGCAGTTCTTCCAGGTGCTGCCCGGAGCCGGGGGAGGCGAGGGCTATGCCCTTGGGCTCCCTCCTGGGCAGCCGGGCTGTGGAGCCACCTTGGGCATGGAAGGGGGCAAGGATCCAAACTGGTTTTCAGAGGGATCTTGGCTGGGTTAACAAAGGGAGCGGATAACACAAGTTGTCTGCAAAATCATTTGGGGACAGCATGGCTTTTCCCGTCCTGTACCCCCGTGTTTTATGTCACGAAGGGAGGTGTGTGTGGTGTGTGTCACGCTGTCGGAGCTGTTATTCGAGACGTCCTTCCCGTCTCCCTCAAAGCCTTTCCCAGATGTAGCAGGGTTGCGGGCAGATTCTCACAAACTTCAAAAGCTATTCGAGATAGGTGGCAGGTTCCTAACGGAGACGGCCACGCACCGGGAGGCACCGACCCCTCTTCCCGGGAAGACGTGCGGCCAGCCTCGGGTGGGATCTTCGAGCAGCCCTAGGCCGGGCCGGAGCCGTGGGTGCCGCACCCCGAGGGGGTTGCGGGATGGGCGGCGGGATCGGCAGCGGGATGGGCGGCGGGATCGGCAGCGGGATGGGCGGCGGGATCGGCAGCGGGATGGGCGGCGGGATGCGCGGGCCGGCTCTGCCCCCTGCCGGCACCGCCCGGCACCGCCGCTCCGCCGATGGCCGCGCTCGGGAGCCCCGGGGGTCCCCGCGGGGCTGGAGAGCGGCCCCAAGAGCCACGGAGGGCCGGGGGCATCGTGGGAAGCGCTGTGCCTGCGCGAAGGGCGGGGAGTTTGCTAGCGAGGGCTGCGAGGAAGACCCCATGGATCAGTGCCATGTCCCGAGCTAACCAGTGGTAGCGGAGACCCGCACAGGTGCCCCTGGGGTTTCCTCGAGGCTCCGAGGTTTTCGGGGGTAAACCCACAGCGTCTGACCTGTAGGTGGCTGTGAATTAGGGAAGTGCCTTTGGAAACACCCACCGTCCTCACGGCGGTCCCCGTCCCGCACCTGCGTCACTGCAGCCCTGAGATCCCCCCGCCCGCCGGGCAGTGTGCCCGGACCCGTCACACCCGGGCACGGCGCCCCGACACCTTCGCGCGGCCCCCGAGCCTGCACCCCGGCACCATCCTGCACCCCGTCACAGCACCGCGGGGCTGCGTGCACCCCGGCTTTTTTAACACTCCAGGGTTATCTGCAGCTCCGGGTGCCCAATGGGGACTGTGCCGTGACCCCGACCGCTGTGACCCCGGGCGCTGCACCCCCGAGCGCTGCACACCCCGCAGCGCAACGCCGCCTCGGGCACGGCATCCCCCGCAGCACTCCGTACTGCACGGGACATCACACTCGGGGATACCTCCCCATCTCTGCAGCTGCGGGAGTCTCCCAGCACCGGGCGCTGCACCGGCAGTGGCGGCTCTGCCCGCCCGCCCGCAGCCGCGGGCCCGGCCCCTCGCAGAGCGGAGCGGCGGCCTGGGGGCACGGCCCGCCATGGGCGGTGCCTGCGTCTCCGCGTCACCGGGCGCGCTCCTCGCCGCCATTGGCCGGCCGCCCGGCGCCGGGGGCACGGCGGGGCAGCCGTTGGCCGGATCCGGGGGCGGGGTCGAGCGCGGCGCGCTGATTGGTCACGGGCAGCGGCGGCCCCGCCCCGCCGGTGAAGGTGAGCGTCTCCTCCAGCGCCGCGCGCCGCCCGTGCCGAACCGGAGCGGACCGGTACGCAGTGGCCGCGCCGCCATGGCCGCCTCCATCTTCGCCGCCGTCCCCCACTCCCCGCCTGTCGCCGTCTTCAAGCTCACGGCGGATTTCCGGGAGGACAGCGACTCGCGGAAGGTCAACCTCGGCGTGGGCGGTGAGTCCGTGGCTCCGTCCTGCTCGGCGGGGCCGTTCCCCGCGGCTCGGGCCGGTCGGTGCCCTTGCGGCGGCTTCCGCACCTGCTGCAGCGGCCGGCGGCGGCGGCGGGCCCCGAGCCCCAAAGGTCACCGGGCCGCGGCCAGCGCCCGGCCGGACGCGGGGGCGTGGGCGGGCAGCGAGCTCCAGCGGGCGTCAAGGTCGTGGGGCCGGCCGGGCCGCCGTCCTCGGTGTCCCGGGCGGGTCGCTCGGGGAGCCGGGCGGCGCAGCGTCACCCCGGTGCAGTAAGGACGGCTGTCCCTTTCCCGCAGCCTACCGCACGGACGAGGGACAGCCATGGGTCCTGCCGGTGGTGAAGAAGGTGGAGCAGATGATCGCCAGCGACAACAGCTTGAACCACGAGTATCTGCCCATCCTGGGCCTGCCCGAGTTCCGGGCCAACGCCTCCCGCATCGCCCTGGGTGATGACAGCCCTGCCATCAAGGAGAAACGGGTATGTGGTGGACAGGGAGCACTGGGGTCCCTGGGGTGTCTCTACAGCAGACTGAGTAGAGGTCCTGCATTTTGGCAGGATTTGGGGGTTTTTCAGACGTGGTCTTTCTTGATTGTAGCTTACTTGATGAACTCATGCACTTGAAACTGTTTGTGCAAGTAGTTGTGGTTTTGGGGAAAAGCCGAACGTGGCCTGTGATTGGAATCCGTGTTTTCCTTCATCTTTTAATAGCCTCCCCACAGGAAACCCAAGTCAGATAATACACCACCTTTCCTGAAATAAACTACTAGCTGAGAATCTGCTCTGTGCCAAAATGTAACAGGAATGGCTGGAGTCTATTTATAATGGTAGAAGTGGTCAGGATTGGGCCTGAGCACTGAAGGAGGTTGAAGACCACTGGAAGGGGATGGCATTCTGACTGAGCTGACCCCAGGGGACACGTGTGGGATCTTATCTGACTCTTGCAAGCACCTGTGCTTCCCATGCAGTGCTAGCAGTGCTGGCCTTGGTGGGCAGTGCTGGCAGGTGTCTCTGTTGCAGGTGGGAAGCGTTCAGTGCCTGGGTGGGACGGGTGCTCTGCGGATTGGTGCAGACTTCCTGAGGCGCTGGTACAACGGCAACAACAACACGGCCACACCAGTCTACGTCTCCACTCCATCCTGGGGTGAGTGCTGCTCTCAGGGAGCCCTGTGGGTCAGCAAGAGGGAGGCACAGCCCTGCTCCCTGCAGGGGCCAGGGCAGTGAGGGAGCAGCCTTCTCATGTGTGTAAGGGGAGGTGCTGGGGCTGGAGAAGGAAGCTTGCTGGAGATAGGATGTGCTTTTCTGAGAAGTTACTTCTTTCCTCAGAGAACCACAATTCTGTGTTTATGGATGCTGGCTTCAAAGATATTAGAACCTACCACTACTGGGATGCTGCCAAGAGGGGTCTGGATCTCCAGGGGCTGCTGAATGACATGGAGGTGAGTAAAACTGGCATGGGATGGGCTGCTTGATGCTGTACTGTCTGTCAGCATCTGCAGCTGGCTAGGCTCTGGTGTGCTGTGCTGGGAAGTGGATCACTGCAAAAGAGGCTGTTGTTGCCCAGAGCAGCTCCAGGCCTCTCCCTGTGCTGTGAGTGCCCAGTCTTGTCCATGTGTGTGTGTGACCAAGATGTGTTCTTTCCTCAGCAAGCCCCGGAGTTCTCCATTTTCATCCTCCACGCCTGTGCGCACAACCCAACAGGCACAGACCCTACTCCTGACCAGTGGAAGCAGATTGCTGCTGTCATGAAGGTATGGGCTGCTGCTGGGGCTAAAGCAATGCTGAGAGGGCATATAGTTCTTGAGCCAGCCAGAGCATTTGCATTTGAAATGGGCGTTTAGGGAATGGCATGAGATGTAGCAGAAGCTGAAAGAGTCCCACAGGGCAGGTGTTGAAGGGAGAGGTGGACAACAGAGTGCTGGTTGTCTGTGCTCAGAGGAGAGATGCACTGCAGTTCTTGCTGTGCCTCCAAGTTCTTGTTTTCACACTCTGGAATGGGCTGTAGTGAGGTTTCTCCTGCTGGAAGGATTATCTGCAGGCAGGTGCTGGATAGTAGCACATGAAGTGGTGCACTTCTTATGTCCTCAAATGCAGTTTTCTCCTGCATTGACTTTCATTGACCAATTTAGTCTTTCTATTCTTTCACCCCAGTAGAAAAAAAGTATTTCTGTCTGATGTTGCTGTACCTTGTTTCCTTTGAAGTCACACAGGAACTCAGTGGTCGTTTTTCCCTCCTACGGGTACTGTGGGGGGTAAAAGAGAGCTTGTGGGGAGGGGATTTCCCTCTAACACTGTTCCTCCTTGCAGCGCCGGAGCCTGTTTCCATTCTTCGACTCAGCGTACCAAGGGTTTGCCTCTGGCAGCCTGGACAAGGATGCCTGGGCTGTGCGATACTTTGTCTCCGAGGGCTTTGAGCTCTTCTGTGCACAGTCGTTTTCCAAGAACTTTGGGCTCTACAGTGAGTGTCTGGCAGTAAGCTGGCCCAGTAGCATCATACCCAGACAGATGGGGCTGGCATGCTGAGGGGTGGGGAATTCTCTGCTGTGCCACGACGTGTGGAACCAACGGCTCACATCTCTTGGCTTGTCCACAGATGAACGTGTGGGGAACCTGACCGTGGTGGGGAAGGATGCAGACAATGTGCAGCGTGTGCTGTCCCAGATGGAGAAGATTGTGCGCACCACTTGGTCCAACCCTCCCTCCCAGGGAGCGCGCATTGTGGCAACTACACTTTCTTCCCCGCAGCTCTTTGATGAGTGGTACGTGTTGCCAGGGCTGGTGTGAGAGTGCAGGGGTGGGAAGCTGTCTCCCTGAGTGTCAGGCTCGGCCAGATGGCTTCAAACCAAATGGGTGCCCATCCTCATGCTCCGCTTCCTGCCTGCTGCAGGAAGGCCAACGTGAAGACGATGGCAGATCGGGTCTTGCTGATGCGCTCAGAGCTCCGGTCTCGACTGGAGGCCCTTGGGACCCCAGGCACCTGGAACCACATCACAGAGCAGATCGGCATGTTCAGCTTCACAGGCTTGAACCGTAAGTATCGAGTGGCCTGTTGAAGGGAGGATTGGGTGGGGGCGGTTGTGCTGTGGGTGAGCTGGGCTGAAGCACTGCAAGCAGGAATCTCTCGGTCTCACTGGAGTTTTGGCATCACTGTGTCTGTGACTGGGGAGGGATGAAGCATCACACAGTATTTTAGTGACCAGTGCTTGAGCTTTTCTGCTTGTTGTGAAAGATTCAAGCATCCCTGACTAGTTCTTTTTTTTGAGCTGTGTGTCACTGCTCTGATCTGATGTCAAATTGTTTCCCCAGCTAAGCAGGTGGAGTACATGGTCAAGGAAAAACACATCTACCTGATGGCTAGTGGGCGCATCAACATGTGTGGTCTAACTACCAAGAACCTGGACTATGTGGCCAAGTCCATCCATGAAGCTGTCACAAAAATCCAATGAAGCACATGAACAACCAAACTTACATGAAGTCACCAAAGCTATAGTGTGTAGTCCATGTCTTTCTCTGCTCATGGCTTGCCTTTTCCCACACCTCTTGGGGTTTAATAAAGATGGGAGCAGTAGCTCAATCAGGGATAATCGTCTTCTGACATTTTTTAAGTGGTCCTTGCACCAGTGCCCCCAGGAGGTGGGGGCAGCATGAGCCACCTTGGCTCTCGTTTCACAACAGCAGCCTGGTCTCCAGGCCCTTAAAGCTCCATCTTTAGCACGTCCAAATCAGCTCCATGTAACTGATCATTTTGATCATGGCAAAGTCTGGTGCCAGTGCAATGCACTGTGTGATAACAGCACAGAGGTTGGGATCTCACATGGCTTGTGAACTAATGTCACTCAGTTGTATTTTGGGGAGGGGTAAAGCTGTTGCTAGCTTCTTCTCTCCACCCGTCCCACCCCCTCTTAATTTCTGAGCCTTATACGAGCAAATATTTGTAATTGTGATAATTGCTTCTTTGTGTTGCTGACATGAAATTAAACCTTCGTCTCTGAATGCTACCCCTGCCTTGTGTGATGTCATGTCTTCAAACCATATGAACCTCTCCCCAGGCTGAGGTTGAAGCCTCAACATCCTGGTTTGTCCACTTACTCAGTTTGTTTCAAGGCTGTCCCTTTTTCTCTCTGGGTGTGTTGCATCTCTGATGGTCACAGCCATTACTAAAGGGGGAGTCTTACTGGGACAGTGTTGTTGAGAGCTCCCTGTGACTGCATGAAGCCAACCAGTTCCTCCTGTATTCATCCTGTGTTCTTTCTGCCCCACTGCCCTGTGCTGCCCAGCTCATCCTGCCTGTCTGTCTGTCTGTCTGTCTGTGGTTGCTTTCTGGATGGTCACGTGTTTCCATTTGGCCATCCCTCCGTGGCCCAGGGCTCCTGGCTTGCCCCTCAGGTGTCAAAAAGCAGATCTCTTCTGTTCATCCTTTTCAGCAGGCTCCTGGTGAACCCCCATCTACTCCCACTTGCTTCAGCCTGTGTTTCTGGCACTGAAAAAGAGCTGGGACCATCTGTTTCTGCTCTCTGCAGTCACTGCAGATCTATTTGTGAGCTGACAGAGCGGCCTCCTGACAGGATCTTGTGAAGAAAGGGGGACAGCTCCTTTCCTTGTGTCAGGTAGCAGTAGTCACTGTTAACCTGATGGATTTGCTTGTGCTGCAGCTCAGAGAGAAAAGGCAAAAATGGTGCCTTATTGCCTTGTTGTGTTTGCACAGAATGCATGGGGGTCTCTTGTTCTTTTTTGGACAGTGTATCATATAGGAGAGTGAGACAGAGGCAGTCTGTCCTCCTCTCTACAAGTGAGGATCTTTTTTTCCTCTTGGTGTCCATTCACAGCAGGGATGGTGAGGAATTGGTTAAAAGATGACTTCTAGGGGTCATCTCAGGAGGAGTTAATGTCTTTATGATATTTGCTTACACTTCTGCCCTTACAGACCTCCTGGTGTGAAGGCTGGCCCCACCCCATGTGATCTATATTGGTGTTTTGCTAGTCTTACCAACCTTGTTTTTCCTAGCAAGTGACCTAAATTTCTCCTTTTCTGTGGTGTAAGCTCATTACCAATTATCCCATTTACCATGGCAACAGAGAACAGATTATTCCTTTCCTCTGTACAGCAGCTTTTTATGTATTTGAAAACTTCCTCTCTCCTTCACATCCTTCACCACTAAAGATTAAGTGACTCTATTCAGCCTTTGGGGCAGGTTGTTTTCCAGCCCTTGCTTTTCTCTGTCCATTTTTTCAATTGCTGTGTGTTTCCTTGGAAGGACAGTGCCCAGACAGGGCTGCAGTTATTCCAGCTGAAGTTTTATCAGCATGGGTGGACTATGAGATTTCTGTCCTTATCTGTCAGGCTGTACTCCAGCACGTGTATCCCACTATTGTGTTTGCAATGGCCTGATATTAACTCCTGGTTTTCCCCAGTCCTTGTCTACACTGCTGGGGCTTATCTCCTGCTTGCCAAGTGCTTTCCAGGCAGCAGGAGTGACAGAGAGCTCAGCTTCACAGCAAGAATTTGGGCATCACTTGCTGACCGTTCTCTTGCTCCCTGCAGTGAGGCTGAGTCCAGTTACTGCAGGCAGCTCTGGCGCTGGGTATGAGGGCAGCCTGGCCTGCTGCCGGGCATGGTTAGAGTATTTCCCTCTCCCATGGACACAGAGAGGGCATCGCTCAGGGAAAAATCACTTTTAATGTTGATATCCCCGTTGCGTTGAGCCTCTACAAAAACTACTGACTGGTCTGTCCCACCCCGAAGTCTTGGTGCGAGCCTCCCTCACAGCGGCAGGCGTGTGGAGAGGAGGATGGTCCGATGCAGCATGGAGAGCCCCCTCCCCAGCGAGGGGGCTGCACTCGGGGGTGAGCGGGGCTCCTTGTCCTGTGCCTGGCAGGGCTTCGGGAGCGCTGGGCCGTGTCCATGGTCAGCGTGAGCGAGGCTGCAAGCGGGCGTGTCACCAGGCACGGCACAAACGTGTGCTGGGCTCTGAGCTGCGCGTGGCACCACCAAAGAGCACGTTCTCCTCGGGCTGGAGACCACGTCTTGCAGCACCGGCACCACGGGGCTCCAGGCCCCGCTGGGATGGGGATGGTAAATGATGGTAAAGGGCAGTTCTGGGCTGGGCTGCCCCTCCCTGCACTGCTTGCAGGGATGCCGTGACAGACACTTTTTCACCTTTCCTTTTTCCACCTCTTCCTTGAGACCAGATGCTACCAGGGAGCGGCTCGCAAGGGCAAGGGCCCTCGGACTCCAGCTAGCTGGTCCAGGCTGCCTGCGTGGTTCAGCCCTGCCGGGGGTACATCCTTTCTCTCCTGGGGATGGGGCTCTGCACAGATCCTGCAGGGAGGGGCGGCACGAGCGGGCGGACAGGCAGCGAGCGAGTGCAGACCTCCTGCTGTTGGACACGAGCCTCACGGCAGGAGACCCCCATGCTGCAGACCTGGGAGACACAAGCACAGGCTGGTGCAGGTGGCCAGAGCTTGCACTCTCTGACCTGCTGCTGCTCAAGCCTGCAGCACCTTTCCTAGCCAAGCTCAGGTGTATGCTGGTGCACACAGTGAAAACATGAGCCAAGGTCTCACTCATCTCTGCCATCCAGTCTGCTGTTGAGAGCAGATCCTGCTCCGTATCCCTTGATCCTGCTCCAGCCCCCACCAACACAAACACATGCATGGGCTCCAAACCACCCTATTTGATTTTGCTGCCTGAAACTTATTTTACACTGTTTAGACTGAGTGACCTCCCACTTGCTGGGAAAGGAATGTCACACCCAGAGGAAGGTTCCTACCTCCAGTCTGCACGGGCCTCCAGCACTGTGCTCTGGCCACACTGCTGCTCAGGTGATTAATGGGGCGAGATTGGAGCTTTCCTCTGGCGACTTCTCACCTTCTGATGATGTCCGCTGCTTGCGCCCACCTGCAGCAGCAAGGGTGCTCAGGGCAGGGGTGCTGGGAGCCAAGGGTGCTCAGGGCAGGGGTGCTGGGAGCCAAGGATGCTCAGGGCAGGGGTGCTGGGAGCCAAGGGCGCTCAGGGCAGGGGTGCATAGGGCTGGGCCAGGACATACTGGCCGGCTCTGCCTGAGCTAGCCCTAGGTGCAGTTTTGCCTTCTGCTGCGGTACTGACAGGGAACTAGGTTGTCCCCTGTTCCACGCCAGCCCCATGCAGGCTGTCCCCAGGACAGGGCTGGGGAACAGCTGACACAGGCAGCAGGGTGCTGAGGCAGAGCTCTCCCCTGGTGTGCCGTCCCGGGGTCAGGCACTCACTGAGGGATCTCAGCAGCCTCTTGCCCAGTGCCTCCTCAGAGCTGCTCGGCGATGAGCTGGTCCCGGCCTCTCGACCTGGGGACTCTGCTTCCAGGACGGTCCCGCAGCACTCACTGTCTGCAAAAGCCCAGCATGGCTGCAGCACCTCAGGGCACCGTGGCCTCGCCAGCCCCAGGGTCAGGGGTGTGTGCCCCTCAGCCAGACTCACTCTGCCGCTTGCTGTTCTCCTCGTTGTCAGCCAGCTCCTCCTGGATGAAGGGGATGCCCTCCATGCGCAGGAACACTGACTCGCTGGGACTGCGCAGCCCCTCAGAGCGGCTGCCTGCAGGGACACAGGGCAGGGAGGTGCTGTGCCCTGGGGCAGGACGTGGCAGAATGCCAGCCACGGCAGCAGGTCCAACTGCCAGGGACCCGGGGGACACGAGTACAAGGCAATGAAGAATTACATGCTGCACACTGGCAGCTGTGTGGATGTGCAGGCATCCACGGGTGCGTGTGTGTAAACGCCTGCACTGTACAGGAGCCCCACTCCATGTGCAACTGCGTCCCAGAGGTGGTGTGTGCATCATGCCAAAGGGCTCCAGCACACACCCCCCTAGGGGACATGAAATGTTGGCCTGTGGCAGGGAAGGAATGCTGTTGGGTGACTCACACATGATGCTGTTCCTCTCATTCAGGAGGGTGGCAGGGTCCTCCTTGGGTGTCTGTGGGGTTCCCCGCGCAGTCGAGGCCTTGGTGGAATCCCTGTCGAAGGCCTCCATGTCAGGGGACTGAGGCGAGCTGTCCATGCGGCTGGCCACCAGCGCGTTGTGGTACTGCTGCCGGGTCACCTGGGCACACAGACGTGCACCCAGCTCAGCGGGCACCGAGCCCCACCGCGACCTCTCGGAGACTTGGTGGCTCCAAACCTCCAGCCAGCAGGAGTAGGTGCAAGACTCCTCAGCACCCACTGGGCACCAAGCGGCTCCTGGGGCACAGTGGGGCAAGAGGGCACCTGGACAGGGGTGGCCAGGGTGGGACAGTCCCTGCCAGCCCTGCCCATACCTTGACGAACTGCACGTCGCAGAGGATGTGCACGGAGTAGTCGGGCGTGTAGATGTTGTTGCTGCTGCTGTGGAGCTGCGTGCTGCTGCCTCCATAGTCCTCCCGGTTGGGGGACTCGGAGCGGTTGAGGCCACTGCAGCGCGACGGTGACCTGTTCACTGCGGGAGGGGACAGCAGAGAGAGAGGCAAACACTCACTCTCGCTCGTGGTGTTGCTTGGGCTCCCAGTGCCAGTGTAGAGCCAAGGTGGACCAGTCACCTCCAGCGGCTGTTCCCCAGGACACGGGGCTGGCAGGGGTCCTGCAGCCTGTCCTCCTCACTGCAGGCTGCTGTGGAGACTGTGCCATGCCAGCCCCACACAAAGCGAGGGGACTGGGCAGGACTCTGACCCGGTGCCAGCAGCAGAGGTTAGGGCTGCCTGCCTGTCACTGACAGCTCTCCTGTTAATGCCGGCCTTCTGCACCACATTTGGCACAACTTCTCCTGGTTGCAGCCGGCAGGCTGTGAGTATTTGCTTAACCTGTCTCAAGGGCGTGCTCCTGTTCCCCCCAACAATGACAGATCAGGAGGAGAGGCTGCCATGGCAAGCTGGTCTGTCACTCACATTGACTGATGGCCTCTGACACACAGCGTGGCCTCTGACACACAGCATGATGGATTTTGTCTAGTCAGTGGTTTTTTAGGGAACAAAGGCAGCTTATTCCTTGCATAGATGACGTCGTGCTGACTTTGCTCTGCTGCTAGAATGCCTTTTTATTACCCGGATCAGCAGAAAGCAAGGGGGGCAGGGCAGCAGGCATGCAGGGCTGCAGGTCACTGTCACCAAAAGCAGCAAGCCAAAACCCCAAGAGCTAAGTGCAAGAAATTACAGGAAGTGCACACCAAAGAAGGCCCAAGCCCACGGCTTCCCCTTGTCCCCATCCCATTCTTCCAGGGATTTGCATCATACTGGGGAGGCTGCGGCAGGATTGCTGGCCCCAGTCTGCCACCAATGCTCCAATCAGTAGGGGTTGCCCAGGGGTGCCGTGGGTACTGCCCAGCATGCCGGGTGAGGGGGTTGGGGCACTGTGGACAGTGCTGGAAAGAGCCTGTCACATGCAGAGGCCCCTGGCCAAAGCCATGCACTGTTACCTGGAGAGCCAGCCAGGGAGTCCCCTCTGCTGAAGGCGAAAGTACGGGACACTGAGACAGGCACTGCAGAGAGAGGGAGGGAGAAGGAAGGAGGGGACCCAGGGGAAAGGTGAGGGATGGAGGTGAGGGTGGGATACAGACCAAGAGGAAGAATAAGAATCATGTGCCAGCAGTCCTGGGCTGAGCTCCCATTGCTGTCTGAGGCATCCCTTCCCACCCCTTTTACAGCCTCCTGCTTCTGCTCTGGAGAGATGCTCGCCAGTCCTGGGGACAGGCCACCGGCCGGAACACACACTTGGAAGTTGTTTGTCAGCAGGTTGCTCTGTGACAAGGTAAGGGGAGGTGAGGCTAGCAGGGGGGATCTGCTCCTGTCAGGCCTGTCTGCAGAGCCACACAACTTCCTGGAGCCCTGGCATGGGTAGAAAGCATCCTTCCCCCATGAGTTAAGTGCTGGCAATTGTCTCTAGCCCTTTACCAGCCATCGCCAGGACAGGGGACATTGTGGTCAGCTTATGCCACCTGGTAAATGGGTGGAAGCTAAATCACTGCACTTGGTATCTGGGATGCTTCTGTATGTGCAGGCACATGGCAGAGAAGGAATATGATCTGCAAGAGTCGCTGCCCCAGCCCCACAGCTGCAGGCAGGGCTGTTAGAAGCTCTTCACAGTGATGCAAAGCAAAGGATTCATGTCAGGCTGCCTGCAGTTCCTTGCAAGGTCCTGGGTCTCAAAAGCCTTCAGCTGATGCCAAGAGCTACCCACTGGGGGCTGATCCTTGCAGGAACTGCAAGAAGCCATGACTCTGCATTTGGGTCTGCCTGACCCATTGCCACAGAGAAGGTAAACCATAGACACTCACTTTCCATGTTTTATTGCCATGGGTTACAGCAGCAATGACAATTTCTAGGGCAGGTCATTCCCCCTCCCAATGATTTCTGCCCTCAACAGTGTCCCTGGGCCATGCCACAGGGAATGGGGAGCACAGAGAGACCGACACACAGGGTGAGTGATGCACTCCTTAACACTTGCCAGTCTCTGCTTTCACCACTGCCACTGCCCACCTTGAAAGCAGTGGGAGATGTGAGCCTGCTAGCTGCCAGCCTCTATTCCAGCCATTGCCATGATTCCCCCAGCTGCCAGCCCTCCTGCCCTACCTCCAGCCACTGTGTCCACAGCACAGCTGCAACACTCTAGGAACTATCTGCTGCGGATGTGACTCATGTTTATAAATTGCTTCAAATGTAAAACCCCCAGGAAATTTGCCCTGCAGTCCCCTTTTCTAATCTCCCTGCTGCTCTCCCAGGAATTCCTGTTCTGTGTCCTCCCCTGAATCAAAACGTTCTGCAAATAAAAAAGACACCAGCATGAAGCACTGCTCAGAATGACCTTGTCCTGATGGGAGCAAAGGATGAGTTGATAACCACTAGCACTGAGTCCGTGCTCCCACTGCCTGACCCTCCCACACAGCACCAGTGCCAAAGATCAGCTGGAGATAAAACAGTTGCATAACAACAGTTAATTAATAACAACCTGGTAAATGCTCTAGGCTGATGTCTAAATTCCCAGCTGTGATACTCTATTCACAGTCCTTTCTTCTGGGCTTTCCTTCAAGGAGGAAAGAGGATGCCAGCCTCCACCACAAGGGAGATACCCTGTCACTTCTGCCTCCCAGCCTGCTTCCTTGCTGGCCAGGGGTGTGACACAGGTCTGTCCCACCGCAGGCAGGAACGGCTGCCTGGCAGAGAGCACCTCATGGCAGTGTCACGGGTGAGCTCGGGGAGCAAGGAGCCCTGAGCAGCAGTGTCCCAGCAGGCGGCACTGCAGACATGCATGGCTGCTCTGACACAGCCCCCGCTGCAGCTCCTGCCCTGCCTGGCGGGCAGCACTCTGCCTGAGCCCCATGGGCCTGTGAGGACTCTCACCTAGGACACAGGACACTGGGCCATCCAGCAACACCCTGGCAGAAATTGGCCACTTCACTGATTTCCTCTCTCCACCGACTGCACTGTGGACACAGGGCAAAGCAGGAATGTGCACTGAGGGGTTAACCCATCAGTCCACCAGCCTGCCTTTTACACGGCGGCAGAGCAGGCAGCAGGAAATAGGTGAACTCTAGAGCTGATGAAAGACTGGGACCCACCAGAGTGAGCCACCTGTCCCAAGAGGCTCCCCCTTGATGACATTCTTCTTTACAGCTCCATAAAGACTGAATTTAGTAGGTCCCTGTTTTGATTAGGCAGGTAGAGCACCTCAGCTTACCATCAGCACTGCAGATATGACTGCAACATCTGGGGTTTGGATGAGGGATGTGACGGACTGGGATTGAGCAGCACCTCAACCTCACACGACCAAACACTTGTAGGGGTTATAGCAAAGAAGGGTGTACCTCTCAATCTCCCCTAGTCATAGCTCCCTCTCAACTCTTGCAAGCAGGGGATCTGCTTCTTAACCCATCAGCTCTGCAGGCAGGGAATTTATTGGCACTCAGCTAATTTCCCACCACCACGTGCAAATAGCTCACAGGTAAATCAACCCATCTCTGCAATTCCCAAGCAGCCCAACGTGGGGCCCGTGTTCAGGTTGTGCCCTGAGCCTCAGGAAGGCAAATGGGTCTAGAGGTGTTATACTGAGACCTAGAATGAGCACAACACCCACCTTGGGCACTGCCCCTTTTCAGCCATGCTGGAACCCACCAACAGAGAGTCAGCTTATGGTAGAAACTTCAAAAGGACATCAAAGGGACCTCAAAGGGACCTCCAAGTCACTCTGTGGGGTCTTTGCTGCATCAGCCCCTCAGTACGTTGTGTCTCTGTCTACCTCAGCACAGTCTGAGCTGTTTCTCTTGGGGAGAAAAGCCATCACTCCTCCAGCCAGCCAGTGCAGCAGAGAGGTTTTAGGGCCTCAGCCTGTCCCAAAATACTTACGTAGGAAGGAGGATCCTGCCAGGCTTCCCATTTTTCGCACATCGTTTTCTGAAACAACAGTTGGAGGTGTGGAAATGGCAGAGGAAGGGCTCCTGCCCCATGGCCCAAAGCAGGGTCACCCCACCCCATGGCCAGCCCCTTCTCCTGGCACCAGCTGGTTTAGCCTCCATGGATGCTGCTGAAGCAAAGGCAGGGCCAGAGGGAGCCCACAGAGGCCTCACCTGATGAGACAACAGCCATGATGGCAGGGACACCATAGTAGGTGAACGCCCCATTCTCAAACCGCAGTCCTTCCTTGCCGACCTCCACCTGCACTTTCCCCTGGAGGGAGGAGGAAAACCCTCTCAGACAAGCACCCCCTGCTCCTGACCCACCCAGGGCTGCAGGGACCCCTGCCATCCCATACAAGAGGAGGGGCATCTTTGCCGACAGAAGCAGCCTAGAACAAGGTGGCAAGGAGAACACAGGGCCACGCCTGCCACCCTCTGCTTGCTGTTGCCCCAGGCACCTGCAGGATGAGGACAAAGTAGTCGACAGGGCGGTTGCGCTGGTAGAGGTAATGCTCCGCTGCCTTCTTGTTCTTTCGGTCGTACTTGAGCTCCTGGATGACATTGGGGTGCTTCAAGAGCCGCAGCAGGATCTTCTCAGAGAGGTAGGGGGACTTGAAAGGCTCCACTTCTAGAGGGGAGGCAACACACACATGCTGTGCTCAGCAGGAGACTGCTGGGAACCCCTCATACTCTGAGCTGCACGGCCCTGCTCCTGCAGTCTAAGCACCCACTGCCAAGAGGGGAGCCCAACACAGACCCGCTCTGCTAGGGCAGTGAAATGTCCAGGCTGTAGGTCCAGCGGGTGGAAATTGCTCAGTGGAGGGGAGCCTGACCCAGGAATGGCTTAGGGATGCCCTGTGGGGCTGGTGCTGCAGGACCTGCACAAGGGGAAGTGTACCTGTTGCCATGAACCGATGGGTAGCCAAGAGGAGCTGCGGGGAGATCTTCACCTTCATCTCGCTCTCTGAGAGCCTGAAGATGGAGAAATCCTGGGGCTTGCGTCCCCGGTGGGGAACCCGCTCCTTCTTCCGATTGTCAGCTGCAGGCAGAGCAGAGCGGTCACTCACAAGGCTGCTGCAGCTGCAGGACCCCCTGTCACATGCACACGTATGGACAGGCATGTCTGGCTGCACCCTGTGGCAGGGCTGCCGTGGAGCAGCAGATGGAGCAGCGGGGTGCATAAAACCTGCTGTGCATGCGGCCTTGGGAGCAGCTCCCGGCCAGGGAGCAGGACTGTAAACCACACTTATTCCTCAGGAACAAGCCCTGGGTTCTCCTGGCTGGATGCATCACCCAGAGCTGCAAATGAGCTTGGGAACAACCCATTTCATGCCCAACATAGATGTTCCTAGGTCAGGTCCTGCCCATCCACCCACTGCTGATGCTGGTACTTCTCTATCTTGAGCATCCAAGATAGAGACACTTTACCAGCATCTCTCCATCATTCTTGTCTTTCCCATCACAACAGCAAATCACTCTGGGGAAGGACCACAATTTGCTCTGGCCTGTTTCCTACCCACGTCTGTCTGTCTGTGCAGGCTCCCACCCTGGCTCCTGCAACCGCAGTAGCTGCTCGGGACACTAACTGTACAGATCCGTCTCATCCAGGATCTCGGACTTGATGATCTCCTCAATGACATCTTCCAGGGTGACGATGCCCATCACCTCGTAGAACGGGTCTCCTTCCCCTTCATTGTTCACCCGCTGCACGATGGCCAGGTGGGACTTTCCTGCAGGGAAAAGCAGAGTGGCAGTGAGACACCTGGCCTGGTGAGAGGGTTCCCCAGCGTGGTGGGCAGGCAGGTGGGCAGGGTTTGGTGGGAGGCACAGATCACAGCAGACGCTGTCACCCTAACCCACCCAAGTGTGCTAACCCAAGGAGAAGGGCTGGACACACAGCCCAGCCTAACAGGACAGCAGTTGTCCAGACTGATTTGTACATGTAGGCTCTTTTTGGGGCTACCTTCTCTCTTTACCCAGCCTGTGAGTCACTCTGTTCAGCTCTCTGAAAGCCTCCTGTGCAGGAATGAAGAGTACATTACACCATCTCCCCTCCCCACCATCTAACCCTCAGCTTCATTGACGTGAAACAACTCTTAACAGAGAAATGAGACAATGTTCTCCAACACAGAAATGTGAATGTGTCCTTGGCTCTACTGATTTCCCATATCCTCCTGGTGTTTCTTATTCTGTTGCTAATTATCTTTCCTATTAAATCGCCAGGAACAGCTCCCTCTCATCTTTCTGTCCATCACTGTGTAGACCAATACTGAGGTTTTTCATAAAATATGGGCAAAGCCTCCATCTCCTTGAAACAGCAGCTGGTTTTTATGCAGAAACGTGAATGTTTGTTTGCAGCTTTCAGCCCAGCTCCTGCAGAACTCTTGGGTGAACCATCTGAATGCAGACACTGAACACTTTTCAACCCATCAGCTTGCACCTGAAATTCTTCTCCAAGCCCTGCCATTAACAGCATCTTCTCTATGCTACCTTAAACAAACAGAGTGAGTCCAGGACCTTCAGCTGCAATGATGTTGACTCCTGCTTGGAAGTTCCAGTGCTCCTGGATCACAGTTTCAGCTTCCTCACTCATCCCTTGTAAGCTGGCAGCTCTGCTGACACATTCTCAAGTTTCTTGGTTTTGGCATACTTGAAACATTTCTATTTGTTTTTGCATGTCCAGCTCTCTGTAAGCTGTTTTGACTTTTTCAACCTCTCCCTTCCTTTACTGGCTGCTCTGATTTATGGTCCTGCTCAGCATCTTGACCAGAACCCAACTTCCAAGCCACAAACAACTTCTGGGTTTCTAGCTCCAACATGTTCTTGGACCTGCCAATGAACAGCACTGGGTTTCTTACTGCCTGTGTGGCTCCCACACTGCCCACCAGTGCACACAGATTCTGAACCTCTAGTTTTACTTAAAAGCACCCTCATGGCACCACAGCCAAAAACTTCTGCTCCCCCTGTTTGCTCTGCATCCCTGAGGTCTCCTGTTGCAATGCCTGCACAAACCTGAAGTCCTGCAGTGACCTCTGGGAAGCTGCTAACACCTTATTTCCCCTTGGGCTTGGAGCTGAGCTCCTTGGGCAGCAATGGTCACCCAAAATGGGGAAAGGTCCTCTCTGCTATGCAGCTGCCTCTGCATCCACTTCTCCCATAACCCATCCCAACAAGCTCTCCTGCTGTTCACGACAAGGGATGTGAGCAGCATTCACGCATAAAGATGTGACAGGGTGGGCTCCTGCCTGGTGCACAGCTCCTCCCTTGCCTGCAGTGCTTCCCTGCTCGCCGCTGCAGAGAGCAGGACAAGCACACCCAGAGAGAGCAGCCTGGCAGTCCCACAAACACGGCTTGCTGGGGATCATGTGACCTTCAAATAACCCTGCCCTGGATCTGAGACGAGCAGATGACATTTCTCAGCTGAAGATCAGCACTATACATTTCTCACAGCAAATCTTGGGCATTTTCCACAGTATAAATTCCCTCCTCCTCATACCAAGCTTTTATTGCAAGATTTCAGAGAGCAGCTCGCTGCCTCCCACGCCTACAGATTTAGAAATGAGAACATAACATTGCAGCAAGTAGCACTGAGATTTACTTTAAAAAACCCAAAATCAATAGCCCTGGGGCACTGAAAATTCAGCATGTTCTTTAGACTGGGCTATTTCACTCCTTTCATACATAGGTTTGTGCATCTTTTCTGCTCATAAAGCAACACGGCACTTAAGAAGAAAAAAGCAGAGGAGTTGGCTGCAAGACAGCAGCGACAGCTACATTTCATCTTAGCAAAGTCCAGCTTTTGAAAAGGTCTCCTTTGCCAAACTCTGCTCCCAAACACTGGGGCCATCTGGTCTCCTACAAGTCCTTGGGTGAGCGAGGAGGGGGAAAAAGTTATTTCTTTTGGCTGAGAGCTTGTTGTTAATGACATTTACATGCAACCCAAAACCACCAAGCCCTTACAAAAAGCTTAGGTGCTACTTAAAGGCAGTCAGAGAGTGATGGAGGCAATTCTTTTTTTGGCCAAACACCTACATCGACACTGCAATTTACACTAGAAATGTGATTCAAACTCCATGCTCACGTAACTGCAAATGAGATTATTTAGAAATAACCCAGCACCATTAGCCTGGAAGGAGACCCATGGCTTCACTGCACTGGGGGCAGAGCCAGTAGGGCTGTTAGAGCAGTCCAGAGTTCTTTATTTTCACAGAAAATAAACACTTGCATTCACACTCCAAACCCCCGGTTCATGTTTCCGGGCTAATACCCACACTAGAAATGGAGCAGGTACCAAACAACGAAAAATTGTTGCAGTTCAGTGTGGTTGCCCACACCGAGAGAGCTGATCCCAGCCCATGCTGGCCAGCTGGTATCCATGTCACAAAAAGTCCTGAATGCCAGCCAGTCCCAGTCCTTTAAATGAGTGCTGCTCACAGCTGCTCCCCTCTGGGAGAGGGCTGGCATGCTCCCACTTCCCACCTGAGGGACATGAGATCATTCGCAAAGTTGTGCCCCACCCCCTGACCTGACTGGGTCCTGTATCTCCTCCCATCACCTTTTTAACAGACCCCATAAATTTCGGTGTGGGGATTGCAGGTGCCTTGGCTGTATGGGCATGGCTTGCTCCCTCCTGGGCAATGCTGCCAAGCTCAGCTAGATCCTTCTGCCCAGCCCTGGGAGCTGCTGCACTTGCAGGGGGGGAAAGCAGTGGCCTTTAGAGCTTGTACAAGGGCAGAATCTGGGCCGTGAGATGGGAGCAATGTCTAAGGGAGGGTGGCACAGGGACAGACCTGAGGACACCTGAGGGGTCACGTTTGCCTCTGCAGCCAGGTCTCTTATCCAGCAGGTCAGCCTCAGTGGCAGCACAACAGAGGGAGGTAAATCATTTAAACAAACCCCCAAACTTGATCTAAAACAGCTTTAAGATCTGTAAAACTGATTCCAAAACCCGTGCTATTGTAACTGCTGCTTGATAGCTCAAATGAGATGAATTATAAGGGCGAGCTGCTTCCCCACTAGCAAGCTGTCACATGTAAACTTTACAGGGCTATTGCTGATGCAGAAAAGCACAGTGGAGCACTTGAGAATCAAAGCCTTGGTTTGGCAAATGCTAGAACAAATGGGCAATTAACTTCCCTTGTGCGAGCAGCTCTGCCGGCCTCCGCAGGACGGCTCTCGCACAGGAAGTCTATAGGTGATTAAGTGTCTGCTCAGCATGGGATACAACTGCACTAAATTCTTTATGAGCTACATGAAATCTGCTCTTTTCAAACAACAGCTTCAGTGGAAAGTTAATGCCTCAAAATGCTAAATTACAGAGCTAATATAAACAGCTGAGAGCTTCCAGATGGAACAAGCATCTGAACAGCTATCCGAAGCTTTTATGCCCATTTTTAGGAGCCTTGTTTTTCATAGGCACCTAAATGACCTTGGGCTCATAGATCCACCTCAAAGCATCTTCCCCAATGAGGGAACGGGGTCTGAACACATGGAAATGCCTTGACTTCTGGGAAAGAAAGTGCTGCTGGGTTCAAATATAGCCCAGACTACTTCTTTATCATTTTTTATATAGATAGCCTGTCAGAGGAATGTTAAAGATGTTTTAGCCTTGTCCCTTGTTCCACAGGATGAACATCCTGGGCATGAAAGTAATTTTCCTAAATTTTACAGTAAGATTTGAAGATGTTATAAGGAGATCAGAGGTACAGGCACAGACCTGTGCCTGAACCATTTACAGCTACAACATGGAAGGCAGAAAAAAAAGAAAAAAAAAGAGTAATTTTTAAATAAGGTTGATTTGTGAAACAACCATGATGTAACTGAAATCTATTTTCTGTGTGCTTTTCTTCAGAGCTCTTCACAGGGGCTGCCAGCATCTCCGTGCCCTCTTGCTGACCTGATCTGAAGAAAGTGGGGACCCTGATTTGGACACTTTGAACTGGAAATGTGAGAGTGATCCTGTGTTACCACCACTCTGCACCATGGGTGAAAGCACACATTGTGTCTAGAGGAAATGCACATCCAAGCAGGGGGGAAATAACCAAGAGGGCTGCGGAGCTACACAGCTCTACAGGAATAAGAGCTATGTAAAGGAAAAACTGTAAATCCTAACCTAATCCAGACCTCTCTTGGAGACAAAAACTTCACCTGCTTACATTTTTTTTTGTAGCCTTTCTCATAGTCTCTTTTTGTGCTTTTCCTAATCCTAAGGAAAACTGTAAAAAAAGATGGAATATTTGGAGTAGCTCATCTATTACCATTGCAGATCAGAAAGGTAAGGAGAAGATTAGAGGGGACACAGAATCTCATCTTCCGTTTGTTGTGCAACAGGATCCCGACCTCCTGGGTACCCCACAGCTCAGTATGAAGGTGCTTTTGACAGCTATAAAGAGGGAAGGGGTGGCAGGGTGCCCTCTCCCCCAAGGACTTGGCTCCCTTCTGGTTTTTCTGAATGATCCCAGAGCAGGATCCCTGATCCTGGGATTACTGGGGTGGGTAGAGCAGTCCAGGGTTTACACAGTAAGATTTAGCACAGTTTAGTGGGAAAAGTACAGTAATGTTTCAGGCAGAATTGCAGCATGAGACACTGAGATAATTCTTTGTCTATCAGCAGCTCACTTGCTCTCAGCCTGGCAGTCACTTTCCAGGGGACATGTAGGTGATAGTTCCTGGGAAAAACCGGCTCCTTAACCCCTACAACTGCTTTGGGAGGGCACTGCTTCAGCTCATCAAGATGCCCAGCAGAGTGACTAAAACACTTGCAGAAATCTCTTGAAGGCTGAGTTAAATTTGAAGCAACACTGTGTGCTTACAACGCCTGTGGGATCAGAAGGATGGTACAAAAAGCATCTGAAATGGTACTGACCCCAATTCCTGGCAAATGTAAGCACCTTCTCCAGCTACATTCAATTTGCAGAAGTCTAATAGAGGCTGTGGAGCATTTTGAAATGTAAAGACAGACCCTAGGGCAGAGCTGTCCTCCACAGGACAGGCTGTTTTTCCTGCTAAGCCTGAAATTTGGGGTTTGGAGCATTTATTTTTAGTAACTCTTAAAAGATGCCAAGCCACAGAAGGCTAATTTGAGTTGCAGCTCAGCCTCTGCCCTGCTGCAGGAAAATGAACATTAAAAGCAAATTTCCACTGTTCCTCTGACAGAGGAAAGTTCCTTGCTGAAAGGTGCCAGTGCTGTATATAGACCCCTCCAGGAAATCAGTCAACAAACCCATCAACAACTTGAGGAAGGGACAAGACTGTGACTTCCCAGAGGCACTACAAAACAAGGAGGTGGACCTCACAGAAGAGGTTTCCAGGAGGAGTTCTGTCACTGGACTGGAGCTGCAGCATGCATTGCTTGGTTATCTTCAAGAAAGGAGGAGAAACAGATTGTATCACCCACTCGATTTTACACTGAATAAATGCATAAAGCCTTCCTCATAGCTCCACATTCCCTAGGTAAAGTTTATCCTACAGAAAGCTCATCTGCCTCCCGACATAGCTGTAGCTTGCTAAATATGGTACAATTATTTTTTTGGTGTATTAGGTACACCTGGGAGCCCAGAATAAAGCCAGGTACTCCAAGGTGTACCAATACAAATTGCCAAGAGATTGTCTCCCAATTTTTTCACTCCTTCAGTATTTTCATCTTCTTTCACCAGGCTGCAGGTGGTAATATTATTGTAGTGGTATGTATTTTCTTATTTCTAGTGAAGAGGGGACACATTTTGTCTAGGGTCCTTCACTTAGCACTTCTCAGTTAATGCTGCACAACAATGTATGCCTTCTATAAACTGTGTCTAGTTTCCCTGAAAAGATGGCAAATTGGGTGTCCAGCCCTCATTATTTGAGTTCTTTTTACTGAGAAGATGAAGTCAAAACCATATTGCAGCACAAATATTTTCTTCCTTCAGCTGAGCCTGTCTCACACTGCTGTAATGTTGTTTTTCTACATGTTTTTTGCAGCTGCCCTCCTCATTTGGGCTATTCTGTTGTAGGCCAGACTGCCCCTCTGGTACTGTTCGGAGTCTTCTCTGGGTTTTTCCCAGTTCCCACTGGGACCCCCAATCTAACCACCTCTCTGCAGGAATCAGTACTGAAAGAGAAATCAAACAATGGCTGCAGCAGCAGGGTTGTGAAAGGGCAGAGGTGAAGAGTTTGACCAGTTCTGCTGTGATGGAGCAGAGGCCAGGTTTTGCTAACCAGGAGCTCACAGCTCTCTTGGGCACCATAACCACACTGGGCCAGCGGCTCCCTGGGTGCTACTGACTGTGTGCTACCATTTAATGCAATTTAAATGTTAATTTACATGGAAAGCCGATGCTACAGGTCTGTGGAAGGTAACCCCTCCCACACAACGTCCTGCTGGGGGAGAGGCAGTTTGTGACACATCTGTGGATTAAAATCAAGGTAAACACCAATGCATCTTAATGGAACTGCACTCAAACGAGGTTAGTGTGAGCATACCTAGAAACAAATGAAGGAAAGCTTCCCCTCAAACCCTGCTATAGAAAACCAAAGAGGAAAAAAGGCTGATTATCTTCATAGCTGGGGCAGAACAGCAAGAGAAAAGAAATGCCTCAGGTAAACAAGGACAATAGCGAGATACCGGTGAGTAGGAGACAGAAAATGAAAGTGCTGTCAGAGGTGTGAGCAAGAGTTCCAAAGCACTGTATTTAATAATCCCTTGACATTTTCAGTAAGAAAGAACAAATGTTTGTGTACTGTGGCAAGGAGCTCTGGCAGTGAAATTGTGTTACTTATACATTATGCAAAAAAATGACAGTATGGGTATAGTGGATGTGGCAGAATATTAATCATTAGTGAAACAGATCAGAAGTACACATTGCTATCCAAGGAAGAAGGTTATAAAATGTTACAGGAATTTTGTATAAACATTATAATAACAAAAAGAAATAAAAGATACAAAAATTGTTTGAGTTAGTCATGAGAAAAGGAAAGAAAAGCTGGCTTTTCTAAAGGCTTGTGAGGGCCATAAGGACCTGGAGGTGGTTATTTATGCCCATCCTTACCAGAGACTTTAATTTCCTAGAAAGAGGCTGGGCTTTATCAGTGGGAGCATTTGCTGTCCTGCAGGCACCTTGGATGTGTGAAGTGATGAATGTCTTCATTAAACACTTGCTGAGCCAACAAGCAATCAACCTTTCTAATTAGTGAAGGTGTCTCAGAAGACCTGGCCACGGAAAGCAACCTTGATTGGATCAAACAAGATACTTCACCATAATTCAAATGGACACAGAAAAGGAGACAGTGATAAAGATTCTTAATTACAAACGGAAAATCTTTATTTTAGAAATTAAATAGTCAAGTGAACAGGGCTGACGCAGCAGTGGATGGGCTGAAGGCATCTGGGAGCTAACATCTGTCACAGTGTGGGAGCCAGCACGAGAACCTGTATTTGGAACTGGAAAAATACAGTTTAGGAGGGTTCAGGGCTGGACTGGGGTGGAGCATTGGCAAATTCAGGGTTCCAGGGGTGACCAAATGCCTACAAATACAGGAAAGATGAATCAGAAGAAAACATCAACTCTTGGGAAGAAGAATATTTGGGGGAAGAGCTGGAATTGCTAAACCCCATGCAGAGTTAGATATGAAGTCCAAAAGCAAGGCTTTTCAGCCATAGAGTTTAGAAAAGACAAGGAGAAGTGAGGTAGGAGTAGATAAAGGGTTTAGGGAGAGCTCTGAATAGGGGCTGTAGCAAAACACCCCAGAAGGTCACAGTGACAGACAGATACAAAGGAGGAAGAACCTGAAGTGATATGCCAAGAGTTTAAAGGAGCAATGTTAAAGAAGGATGGATAATCTTCATCTGAGATGAAGACCAGCATATGAAAGTGCAGGGCAGGTAGCAAGGTTTGTTACCACACCCATGAGCTCACAGAGCAGCACACACCAAACAGCTCTGTTTAAGGAGGACACAGAGGACAGCAAGCAAAGGGCAGGGAACTAAGCAACCACAAGCCCATTTTTATAGGTCTATTGATCCATAGGATACCATGCTGTAGAAGAAATTTGGAAGGGGATCTGTATCAAAGTAAATCAGATAAATTGCAGGGGAACCTCACCAAGAGAGTGGGTGCCAAAATCATCTGACATCTCTAGACAAGAGAGAGGTAGAAGAGACCTCAGGTGAACTTCAGTGCTATTGCAGGAAAACACAGTTAAGAAGGAACTGCAAAGCACATAAGGAATTAGGAAGAGAAGAGACAGCTGGCATGGGGGGAAGGGGGCAGGCATGGACTACTGCAGTTCACCAAGGTTGAACCCAGAGAACAATCTCAATGCTTTTGCTAACAGCCTTGTATAAAACCTGGGAATTTTCTGATTTTCTCCATTGGGAGTCTTCAGTCCTGCTGAGAGGCAGAGAGGGCAGGAGGTGGCACACAGAACTCCTCTGCCTGTGATCCTGAGCGGTGTGGGAACACAGCCGAACATCTCTGGAGAAGATGCTGACCTGCATGTACCTGATGAGCACATTCCTGGCACGCTGAGAAATGTCCTACCCTCTCTTCCTCCCACCTCCACAAACGAGCAGGAGATGACTCACAGAGAGGCTTCCTCTGTATCTGGAGTGGACCAGGTTGGCCTTTCTCATATGACCAGCCCTGCCTGCGGCAGAGCAGCGCCAGGCAGCCCAGGAGCCAAGCGCTGCCCTCACGCATTACATAATGCAGCATGCCACTGCTGCAGCCATTTCTTAGACTCACCACAGCATGACGTAGCGAGTAGCACGCGGCAAAACACAGCTCCCAGTGGGAAAGAAAAACACATGCTGTGCGTATTCTCAAGGTATGCTTAATGAAATACAGCTCTCAGCATCTCTGAGGCTGCTGGCAGCTGCTGCATTATGAATGCTGTCACAGCTGCAAAAAAAGTACAGCTCTTTCTAAGGGCTTAATCTTTTCTTCTTTCTTTAAACCACTTGCATAGAAACACTTTATAGACCTCGTTCTCACTGCTAAGCTGAAAATGTGAAAGCTAAGTCATGAGAAGCGATTTCCTGTCATAAACTCCTTTGCACAGAACAGAGCAGCGAATGCTGTCTGGGCAACGGTGCAAGGCAGGTGCCATGCCCATGCTGCCAGGCCCCTGCTGCCATCAGCCCCTGGGGGACAGGCTCACCTGCTGAGCCAGCAACCTGTGAGGCCAAAGGCTCTAACAGTCTTCATAACATCACAGGTACTTCAAGGGCTGCTGGCCCTCAATCCACCCATGAGGCCAAAGGCTCTAACAGTCTTCATAACATCACAGGTACTTGCTGCTGGCCCTCAATCCACCCGGGGATGTTCCACCAGGGGACACCACGGTCATCGACACACCAGCACATGCAGGGACCGATTCCCCCCAGCATCCGTGGTACCTGCCACATCCTGCCAGGAGGCCATGCAGGGCTGCCCGCAGAGGCTGCTGACCTGGAAATCATTGGGGGTGCAGGGGAAGCCCGGGGGGGTGCGGAGGGTGGCCCGGTGACCTCACCCTTCTTGAACTCCTCCAGCAGCGTGTCGAGGCGCGTGTCATTGAAGACGCAGTGGAGCGGCCGGCGGTAGAAGCGGGTGACAGTCTGCAGGGGAGTGCAGTCATCAGGGTCGACAAAGGCCAGGTCTTTGACAAAGAGCAGGTCGACAATGTTGTCGCGCCGGTCACCCTCATAGACTGGAATGCGGGTGTAGCCAGATCGGAGGATCTCAGAGACGGTGGCGAAGTCCAGCACAGCATCGGCCCGGAGCATGAAGCAGTCGGCCAGCGGTGTCAGCACATCCTCCACCACCTTGGTGCGTAGCTCCAGCGCGCCCTGCACCATGGCCAACTCCTCCCGCACCAGGTCGCCGTGGGGGCCAGCGGCGCGCAGCGTCTCCAGCAGCCGCTCCCGCGTAGAGAAGACGCTGAGCTCCTGCCGCAGCGCCCAGTCCAGCAACCGGCTGAGGGGGTAGCACAGGGGGAAGGCGGCCAGCATCAGCAGCCGGGTGAGGCAGAGCGTGCGGGAGGCGATGGCCAGCCCGTGCCGCGAGCACACCGAGTAGGGCAGCACCTCGCCGCCCAGGAAGACGGCGGCGGTACACAGCAGCACCGGCAGCCAGGGCGCTCCCCGCGGCCCGCCGGCCGCCGCCGCCGGCCCGCCGCCGGGCAGCGAGGCGCAGAGCCAGCCGGCCAGCGCCGCGTTGGCCCCCGCCTGCCCCAGCAGGAGCGTGCACAGCAGGTAGGTGCCGCCGCCGCCGCGCACCGCCTGCACCCGCCGCGCCTGCTCCCGCTCGGCGGCCGAGCCGCTGTTGCGCAGGACGCGGAGCTCCAGCGGGTCCAGCGAGAGCAGCGAGAGGCGCAGCCCGCTGAACAGCGCCGACAGCCCCAGCAGCAGCAGGGCGCCCAGCGCCCGCAGCCAGCCCGCCTCGGGCAGCGGCAGCAGCCAAGTGCCCAGCGGCGGGGCGGCCGGCCGCACCCGCAGCAAGAAGCCGCCCGCCGCACCGTGGTGCGCCCAGGCCCGCCCGTCCCAGGCGCACAGCGAGAAGAGCCGCCCGCCCGGCGCCGCCGCCGCCTCGCCCTTGCGCGGCTCCCGCACCCGCACCTCGGCCAGCGCCGAGCCCGCCGCGCCGCCCGAGCGCAGCGGCCCCACCACCTCCACGTCCGAGGCCCAGGCGCTGCGCTCCCGGCACCGCTCCGCCGGGCCCCGCGCCGCCGTGCTCCCCGCCGCCGCCTCTTCGATGAAGACCAGCCGCGGCTCCCGCTCCCCCGCCGGCCCGCGGCTGCCGTTGCCCTCGGGCGGCGGCTGGAAGTAGAGGCGCAGGAGGAAGCGGCTGCCCTCCGCCGCCTGCACCGCGCCGCCCTCCAGAGACACCCGGCCCGGCGTCGTGTCCTCGGGCCGCAGCCCCAGCAGCCAGGCGGCCCCGGCCGGCGGCCGCGGCGACAGCGAGAAGAAGAGCAGCAGCACGGCGCCCCGGCTCCGGCCCCAGCTGCCGCCGCTGCCCGCGCCACGTGCGACCGGGAGCCGGCCTGCGGCGCCCCGGCGGGAGGGGCCGGCGGAGCGGGACCGCCGACCGGGACCGCCGACCGGGACGCTGCGCAGGGGACCGAGGAGCTCGCCCACCCGCCCCGAGCGGGAGCATCCCCGCGGCGGGCCGCACCGCGCGTTCTCTCCGCACCTGGTGAGATGCTGGCGGATCCGCGGCGGAGCGCATCGGCGGTGACACGGGCAGCCCCCAGCCCTGGCAGCCAGGGTGGGCTGCGGGCCCGAGCAGCGAGCTCTGCCCAGCCAGCCGCTGGCTCCCGGTGCCCTCCCAGGTACACTGCCTGCGGGTTGCGGTGCGGGGGCTGCGTCTCCCCCGCGCTGAGCGGTCGGGGTTTGCTGAGGGGCTTCTGCCAGCGGTCTCTGAAGCTGGAATTTGTATTCAGCGTCCCTCTGTTATCTGTCGAGGCCCTACTCTTCAGCTTTTCAGTTCAGATTCATTTCTTTTCTTCCCGTGGGAGTGGTTTGATTTTTTTGTTTGGCGTTTTTTTAATGGGGGGTGGGTAGTCGTTAGATTCGGAGTCTTTCTGGGAAACAAATGTACCACACTGTAGCTACATTTGTTCTCATGTCTAGACCTGATGGGGAATGTTGCTAGAGTTTATCAGCTTCAGAAGTATGTGCTCAAGAATGCACTTAGGGACTCCTTAAACTTTTGTGTCTTCCCTGGACCAACATTCATGACAAACTTGAAACGAGGCTGGAGAACTGGAAAGCAGTTGCTTACAACTGCAACAGGCTCAGTAGTGGCAAAGCAATAAGCTAGAAAATGTCATGGAGGCAAAGGAAGTGCCCGAAAAATTCTGATTATTCACTCATTATTGCTCCCATGAAAATAGGTCATTTTCTGTGTCAGTATGTCAGCAGGCAGACAGGCATGAAAAGCTACCAGGGGGATCTGTGCTTCTTTCTGTCACAAGAGACTCTTCTCTCTCTCTCTGTGAGATGCAGCTATTTTTTTTCCCAAGTGATGAATTCACTGGGTGTTCACAGGGCTGTGTGCTGCTTCACAAGCTCCTGCTGATCATCCACTTTCTAACTCCCCTTTAGTACCACTGGGAAATATTACCCGGTGCTCTACCTGGGCATGATTGTTGAAGGAGCCACCTGGTAACCTGCTTGTGCAGACCTAGCCCCAGGTTATGGTGCCTGAGGGACAGATCTCACAAGCTGCCCTAAGCAGTACCCAGAGTGACTCGGGACCTGCTTCTGCCATCCTGCCTGCAAGGTGGGGGATGAGCACATGGCTGCTCCTTCTTTATTAGGACCTTGTGGGAACTACTGTCTGAGATCATCCCATATTTTAGCAATGGCAGGCTGTCATCAGCCCTGAATTTCTCACAGACTTCTTGGTGCTGAGAATATTGTAAAGACAGAATATATTGTGCATCACTGCCATTGTGTTTTGTATTGCTGTTTGGCAGCTGTGTACCCATACCAGTAGTTACTCATGTTTATTAACTTGCAATTTAGATTCCTGAAAGGTTTTCTAGTGATAAGTTTCTCAGTGTAGGAACTGAAGACTGTGAATTACAGACGTGCTTTTTTTAGTTAATTAAGTATTTGGAAGGTATTCTTGTCCATAGTACCCTTGTCACTAGAAATCCCTGGACAGCGGTTTGGAAACCACTGGTCTAGCCTGGAACATGTGGGAAGGAAAACATGGCACTGCAGGAGAAGGAACCACAAGGTGGCAATCTCTCGCCGCACTTTTACTGGCAAAATAAAGAGCTGGCAAAAAAAAAAAAAAAAAAAAAAAAAAAAAAAAAATCGTGGACAGTAACTGGGTAAAGCTGCAAGTTAGTCACATCTTGTATCTTCCAGAGTCACAGCAACCTTCGTTTTGATGCTGGATTTTCTCTTCCGAACGCTCTTCCCTTTAGTACGAAAATCTCAGTCTTGAGGAGCTGGATCTGTAGGCTACTCTTTGCTGGCTTTTCCATCCTTTGCCCCCAAATAGGCAGCAGATGTTGCTTGTTAGATTGCTAACTACCGGTGCCTGCAGGCAGAGCTACTGTGTGCTTGGAGAGAAAGCTTCCTCCCGCACTGGAGGCACTGTCTGGCTCAGGGCATTGCTAACCTCAAATATACTGATGTACAAGATAATGGTTGCATCAGCACCTTGCTTGCTGCTCTGATGTGCCTCAATGGGAGCAAAATCACCTGGATGTTAGGACTAGGCAGTGACCTGCAGGCTGAGAGTGTGTTTGGCCTTGAGGGGACTGCAAAGCCACAGTGGCAGCGGCTCCACTCAGAGAGAGATGTGGCCAGAGGGGGTAAAAACTCAGAAGGGAAGTAATGCTCAGTTTAAGGTAGAGCCTCTCTGCTCCTGCAGTATCAAACACCATCTGTTGCTATGAGCTCCATCTCGACCAGGACATAGTTGTGTTCTTGCCAGATGTTAGCTTACATGTGCTACATGTAAAAGTAAACTGGTGTGAAAGCTGTGGTCAGATGTGCTTTCAGTAGGATTTGCCCTGAATAAGTGACGACGTGCTAGCCAGCCTCTTGCTGAGAGGATGCACTCCAGAAGTTGCAGGTGTGTGGTTGGAGCGTGTTCAATGACCCAAGATAGGAAATATCTTCCAAAGCTCCAAATAAGACAAAACAAACTCAGCTTTAGCACATGCTCAATTCATTGAATCTTTGGCAAAGTATGACATGAATTTGCAATGTTCTCACTGAGGCCCTGTTCTCCTGGCTGTATCCTGCCTGGTGAGTCCTTCAGCAGGCACAGCATAGTTGTCCTTGTGCTGAATCCTACTTCTTTTACCTGTTCTTCCCAAACTCTTCAGTTAGGAATGACAACCTGATTCCCACTCACCATCACTGTTCAGGTTCTGCTTTTACACTGTGTCTGCCACCACTGAGATCCCTCTTGTGTCACAGCCCGCGATATCCACAAACCTGCCAGGGGTGCCTCCTCTAGTCACTGCTGTTCTCTTCCAGCTCTGGCTGTTCAGGTCCAGACAGGACCTGGAGCAAGTGAGAAGCATGGACATGGGGAGTTTCCTAAAGTCTCTTTACACCACCTTGACTTTAAAGTCTGAAATCGGAGTCCTGGAGGCCGTGGGTTGCAATTCACTTCCTTCCTGGTTGATGGGAGCCCAGGGGCTCTGCTGTCCGCTGGTCCTTTAGAAAAGGGCCAGGAGCCACCAGGGACTCCTAGTGGGGATAGAAATGTTAGCAATCCAAATCATGATGGGAAACAGAAGAAGTAAAAAAAAAAAAAAAACAAAACCAAAAAGACCCCCAGATTTTTTCCTCCTCAGAAAGCAGGAGGAAATCTAGCTGGACGAGGCTGGCTTCTCCTGGAACATATGTGCAATCTGATTGTCACTAATGCTCTGTAGCCAGCTTAGAGAAGATACTGTCCCTAAGTAAGTGAAATAAGCACTGTGATGTGGGATATATGATAACTTCAGAAGCAGAAGGAATAAGACCCCAGGCAAGAGAGCTTCAGACAGTGTCCTTTTTTCCCCCCTCCTTTTTCCATCTCTTAGTCTGTGGTGTTCAATTAACCCTCTTTCTCTATCCTGGCCATGATGGCTGCAGCTTTGCAAGGCTTTACCCAGCCTTCTGGATGATGATGTGTTAAGCACTTGGTTTGTGATAACCAGTTTTCTCCTGAAATGATACCAAAAGTCTGCTGTTTTGATTTAAACTGTTTTCCGAGCATTTTGGTTTGTAACAAAAGACAGTCCATTCCAAGAGAATCTAGCTTGAGGAAGCCATGAAATTTAATTCATCTTTGTGACTTAAATATATAATCAGTGACATATGGTAATAGTAAATACAGGGGGAAATGTCATTGTTTCAGTCAAATTTCTGCATTCAGTCAAAACCTAATAGTTGTAACATCAAACTGTATTTTCCATTGAACAGGAAATAAAGCATCATTTTTTCAAAGAAAATAGACATGCAATTGCATGCCTATTATATTGCTTATATAGCTTTATTTTTAGCTTTCTCAACTGTTGGTGTTCTAAAGGACCAACAGAAGGGGAACTGTGAAGGGAGAAGATACAAGGCAATACCCAGTTGCCCGTGGTAGAAAGGACAAAGATGTCTGTGCTTTGAATAAGTGCACTTTCCCTACAGGGCAGTGAGGTTCTGTGCCTGGGTTAGGGACTCTGCACCTCACCCCTCACTTCTGCTGACATGCCAGCCCTTAAGCAGTGCTGAGGTGAGGACGAGTTCCTGTAAGGGCTCTGGAATTTGTGCAGAAAGAACATTGCTTTTTCTGGGCAATGGAAGCAGAGTATTTGGTTTAAAGTCCACCTGGCATCAGCCCGAGACTCCTCCCTCCATGAGTACAGGTCACTGATGTACTGCTGGCTTTTCCCCCTCATTCAGTGGTGCTCTCTTCTGAGCCTCCAAATTTCGTGGTTCCTTGTGGGCATTTAACTTTATTTCTACTTCATCTGGTTTAAGGCATGACCCATAGTTTTCTCCTCTTACTCTCTAGCCTTGAGTTTCATGTTGCTTCTGATATCTCTAATGAACACCAATGGTTTGCAGCTTTGACATAGCTGATTTGTCCTGTCTTTGCCTGTAGCAGGGCCACGCTCAGATGTCTGGACAGGGCTGGTGACAAAGAGCTTATTTGCCCTATGCAAATAAATACAGCAGGCAGGGGTTTACAATTTTATCATTACCTGAAATATTCCAATTCTTTTCTGTCTCTCTCACCCCAGCAGCTTCTCTGATTTGAGAGCATTTTGGCTGCTGTTCCTTCCCCTGAGCTCCATCTCCTCGTTGATTTCTGCACACAGTTCCTTCCTCTTTTTCATAATTGACTCGTTTGCTCCTCCAGTCTTGCACTTCATCCATCTTCTTACTTCCCCTCTCTGATCTAATTCTCATGTCCGCTTCCTCCATTTTTGCTGCGGGAATGTAAAGCATCCCTCCAGAAAAATAGAAGGTCTCTGTCAACTTTTACCATCCCCCTCATATTCCCTCTTCCTTCACCTCTATCATCTCCCCCAGATGGTGGGACAAATACTCACTTGCATTCATTCTCAGGCTTGTAAAATTGGCATATTCCCTGCTCTTTCTTTTTCACGTGATGATGTGAAACAGGAATAATTCTACACATTTCTCTGCTGCTCAGGGCTGGGCTCAATCTTAAGAAAAAGGTTTCCAAGGCTATTGTGGTCTTCAGGACACTACAGAGCTCCAGTCTCACTGCTGTGTTCTCACTCTGTATCTCTTTGACTGTGACAAATTGCTGCTGTATTTGCTGCTTCTCAAGATGTGAAAGACAAAAGTGAAATCAGACCTGGCCGTTGATGAGTACAGAGAAGTTAATGGAGCCAAAGAGCATTCTCTGTCCAAGGGCATTGTTGTACACTGAAATGTTCTCAGTCGTTGTGTGGGTTTTTTTCTGCTTGCTGAGGAGGCAAAGGGGATTTCTGTGTGCTGAGATAGCACCTGGTTTGAACCCCAGAGTGATTGCTACAGCTTTATAGAAATCGTGCATCTCAGTCTTTCAAGGATTTCAGAAGTTCTGTTGGGACTTCAACACTTTGGGATTTCACAAGTTGCCTCTATGGACAAATCTGCAGGACCAGGGTACCCTGGGCTTGTAAGAGAATTTTTGAGACCATGCATCAAAAGTCAGATAAAGTAAAACAATAAAGCAGATGAGGGAAACAATAAAGGCTGTTTATTCCAACAGAGTACATGGTATCTAACTTCTCACAGAGCTGGAAATTAAGTTACAAAAACTGAAAAAAAAACCCCTTAAAAAAAATCATTGTTTGTTAGCTGCCTAAAACTCTGCTTCATCCTCCCAGTTTCATTCTGTGGTGTTCCACCCAGGGAGAGCCCACACTCACAACCTCGCAACCTTTATGGCACCAGCACTTTTTCCCTCTGTTCCCCCCCACCTTTTTTTTTTTTTTTTTTTTACAGGTTTCTTCATTATGCAGCTAGTGAGTGTAGAATGACTCTCAAAGAAATGTGCTCTATTTTCCTATGGCTAGATTTGGAAATACCAGTTTGTGTTCCTTTCACTCTGGCAAAAATGCAAAGACAACATTGCCAACTGTGCTTTTCCTGAGCAGGCCGTTGGCTTTGATCGATGCCTTGCCTTTGGCATGTGTGGAGGGAGGAAGCTCTCTCAGTAGGCTTGCTTTCCTCCTGCTGTGCCTGAGCTCCCTAACCAGCCAGTCCTTCTAGCTCAGACAGGGGTATTTGCTTTTTACAGAACTTCCCAGATCACCTACATTAAAGAGCAATATGTGGATGCTGTATTAAATCAAGCAACTGTCCTCTGTCTGTTTGATCAGGTTAGACATGATACATAAACAGGATAGAAAATGGTTTCAGCAGTGCAGTTCAGGCTGTGACACCCACCTTGAGGCACTGGCAGTTTTAGGAGGTTGCATTCCAGACGTTAAGGCTCTTGTGGTGAAAATGATGTACACAGCATTGCAGAAAGAGCAAAAAGCTCAGTAAAAAGAATCTGTCATGCAATTGCATGCTCTGATGATCACAGCTTTACCACATTCACTGGTCTTGCTCTTCTAAGAAATTGTCATACCATGCTACAGGGCAGAAGCATAAGAGCTTGAAAAGAAAGTGTATTTTTGTGAAGTATGGGTAACACTCTTAATTTTCACTTGCTGAATTTTCTCCTTGCTGGCTTCTTTTAGAGCATCCATAACTCAGATTTACTTGACAGCACTAAAGAAACAGACATGGTTGATATCTTGGGAATCAAAGACATGATGATTTTTTTTTTTTTTAAGGGCTGTCTAGCCTGTTTTATCCTTCCCAGCCTAATGGAGGTTTGTTTGGTACAGGACATCCTCTGATGATAATAACTTTCATCATTTATGAGCAAAGTTTATTCTTTAGTGAACTAAAAATGTTCCTCCTAAGGAGATTTCCCCCATTTTCTTTTGGGCCAATTTGTATAGCCTGAGATCTGAGTTTGGATTTCCGTTGTGCTTTTTCTTCTCTTTTTTTTTTTTTTTTTTTTTTTTTTCCATCTGAAGAGGTTTCATCTGCTGAAAACCTTCAACAACTGCTCAGACCATTTACAAGAAGCACTTTCACAGGCAGTAGCTCTACAAAGGAGAGGAAAAATCGAAGTGACTACCTATAATAATGAAGTTAAATGCAATTTTAAGTGTTTGTGAACTTCAACTGACTGAGAGGGTGCCAAATATTTTGCAAATATATACAAAAAGACAGGCCCCTGCTCTAATCAGCTTGTAAATTAAAAGAAAAGTACATTGGCAAGAGCAGAAGAGATGATATGACATGCTTTAAATAGTTTATAGGGAGCTGGAGAATTGTTGTTTATTTGGTGATGTTGGGAAAATATTTAATGTGCTTTGGTTAAGCTCTTTATAGAAATGCTTCTCCTCCCCCAGTTTTCTTTTCCAGTGACTGTTTTGGAGATCAAAACCAGCAAGTTTGGAGTAGATGGAAAACGGAGAACCCTATTTCGAAATTGACAAAACCGCGAGTAAATCTTTATAGATACTTTTTATGTGAGTCAGGCTTTCTAAAGTAATTATCGTAATATAAGAAAGGATCATCGCTTCGCCGCCCCTGCGGACGGCGAGCCAGGGTCGCAGCTGGTGTAAATTGAGATACCTCCTATCTGCTGTGCGTGGCTGGGGAGGAGGTGGCCGTGGCCCCTCTTTGCGGGTTCCGGGGCCGCTCCCGAGCTGCGCCGGGCGGCGGCGGCTCCCGGGACCGGCGGCTCCCGGGACCGGCGGCTCCCGGGGCTCCCCGCGCCTCCGCTGCTGCCCCGGCGCTCGCAGATAACCAAGTGATTTTTAGCGTTTAAATGTTTTCTGTAGCAAGCCCACAATTTATTGAAAAACAGGCCGACAAACAAAAAAGCTCGAAACAGTGTATTTTTAGATTTAACTTGCAGCTGCTGGGGTCAGATGCAAAGTGGGGTGCAATTGCGTTTGCGAGGGCACAGGGTTGGGGCAAGCGCCCGGTGTTGGTTTGGAAAGCTCAGATAGGTAAATGAATATTTCCTTTAACGTCGTCTTCCCAGAATCTGAAGGTGACTCCAGCATTTGGGAGGTTTTTTGCCTCTTTCCCTGCTGTTTAATGTTGTTGGTGATATCTCCGCAGATAAGTGACTTCAGTGCATCCGGAGTTTGCGTTCAAAGCAGAGACTAATTGTGGGGAACTTTTCAGAATAAACATATTTCTCTTTCGAAGTAATGTGTTTGTAAGGAAAAAAATATATTAAAAAGAGGTTAAAGTGGATAATTTGTTTAGTTTTTGTTTGTGGTTCTTTTCCCCCCTTTTTACTACAGAACACTGGAATTTCGTTTGAAATAGAACCATCCTTGGAGGGAGGCACGATACGAAATTTCGGCCTGCAATCACAACAAATACCCCTGAAGTCTTGATCTCATCTTCTGAAAGCATAGAAAAAAAATATTAAAAAATAACGAGATAATTTTGAAACTCATGTTCCTCATTTTGAGATGACCCAAAAAACTGCGCAGCTTCTGAAGTGGAGGCTTTATGTCCTGGGTCAGCTTTAAGTGCTATTGCAAACCTCGGCAGAAGTGTTTGCAGCCGAACACAAATTTCCAGGCTTAAATTGCCTTCTTCCTGTGCCGGGATGCCAGGGCTTTGCACAGCCGAAATTGCACAGCTCTTTTCCCCCGGATCCTCTTACTTATTCCAGCGCTCAGAGCCCTCTGCCCCGGGCACCCTTCTGCTGCTCTGGGTCAGCCTGCGTTGCGCTCTGCAGCCTCTTCGGCTTGAGCCCTGCTCCCGTCTCCGCTTTGGCGGGATGGTTTCACGGCAAATCCTAGTTCGTGTGCTCCCTGCTCACCCCTAGCAGAGCCAGAGGTACGTTTCATGTTTCCCCACGCGTTACCACGGCGGCTCCGTACGGCCGCAGCCCTGCCCGAGTGAGCCCGGACGGGCAGGGGTGGCTGCCCCTCTTGTGGCGTTTCAGGGGCAGAGGGACAAGGGAGAGTGGAGATTTCCGCCGAAGACAGCGCTGTCCGTGGGCTTCACCGGGCCCAGGCCGAGTGCTTCCCCTCTGTGCGGGGCTCCGCCGAGCGCGCCGAGCTCCGGGACTCGCCGCCGGCTCACCGGGGCCGCTCCCGCCGCCCCTCGGGCCCTCACTGGGGCGGCCGGGGCGCGCAGGTGGCTCGGCACGGACACCGGGAGAAGCTGGAGAGGGTTCCCAAGGGCGGGCAGCCCTGCCGGGACAGCGGGCTGCCCGTGCGCTCGGAGTGCCCCTGCTCCGGCTGCCCGGGCCGCTCGTACCCGACCCGCCGGCGTCCCCGGAGGCGGCTGGCGGGTCCCCGGCGCTCGGCCACTCCTGCGGCGAGATTGACGCCTCGATGCCGAAGCCGCGCTGCTGCCCGCAGCCCCGGCACCTCCCGACCGCGGCGCGGAGGGTGTCCGCAGGTGGGTGCCGGTCCCCCGCCGCGCCGGGACCCTCACCAGCAGATGGTGCTGCGGCCGCCCCATCCCCGGGGCTGCGGGGCCCCGACGGACCGCACCTGGCCGGGCTCAGCCCTCCCGCCGTCCGCCCTCCGTCCCCGGGCCGGCAGCGGCACCGGGGCCCCGCGTCCATGGCCTGGGCGCCGCGGGAACTGGTGCGGGCCGCGGCGGCCGAGAGCCCGGGTACGGGCGCGTTGCGCGTCCCGGAGGCAGCAGACTGCTTGTGGGAGTTCGGGGCTTGCCCGGGAAGCGGCTGCTGACGGAGAGGATGTTCGCTGCGGATGGACATTCCTTGAGGCTCCCGGGATTGTCGGCAGCCACCACCGATCCCCGGCCCGGTGCCACGACCTTGCGCCCAGAGCTGGCAACCACAGCCGTCTGCACTTCTGCAGTGCGCCGAGCCCGGTTCATCCTGCCCCGGTCCGCCCTGGAGGCAGCGACGGAGGGCTGGCCCCGGCACGGGGGTCCTGTCTGTGCCATCAAACCGTGGTGTCCTTTCCGCCCCCGATGCGGACGTTTCCACACCAGGCACTGCTGCTGCCGCCCCTCTTCTTTCCCTGCCGCTGGTCGAACACCGATGGGCCCGGAGGCAGGCGGGAAAAGGCCACCGGCGGCTCGGTTCCCCGTGCCCCGGTTCCCCGCAGTGCCCGATGGTCTTCGTGCGAGCACCGGCCCGGTGCTTCGGGCAGGGCGCACCGAGCGCGCCGCGCCCGGGCTCCGGGCTGCTGGCGGCCCCCAGCCCCGCTGCGCCCGTCGGGTCCCGCGGAGCCTCCAGCGCTGAGCCCCGAGGGCCTCGCCCAGCGTCGCGGGTCCCGGCGCAGTTTGGAGCTAACTCTTCCCTCAGGTAGTGTTTGGGACTTTTTCCGGGGTGATTACCACCCCACCCCACCCCCCGCCGCCCCCCCAGCCAGGGCCGTCCTCGCTGCCTTACCTCGCTGTCTCTGTCGTTCCTGCAGCCGGCGACCATCTCGAACCGTGCTGGCCGGTCCCCGCGCGCCGGTCCCCGTCCCGAGCTCTCCGGTGTCTCGGTGTCCCGGCTCCGTCCCGGTTTTGCGTGGTGAGGAGCCGAAAACGTCCGCCGGAGCCGGCGCAAAGCGAACGCTCGGGGCTGGCGGGGCTGCTGCAGGGCGGCGGGACCTGAGCCGAGGGGGTTAACCCAGGAGCCTCCCCTTACCTTCAAAAAGTTAAAAATGTCTGGAGCCTGCATCTCTTAAAGGGGCGGTGCTGGCTGCAAGTAGTCTTGGCACCAGCTGCGAGAAAGGCTGGTCAGGGGCGTGAGTTCCCCTCCACCAACACCAAAACATTGCAAAAAAAGGCAGAGCGCCCCACACTTTAGATAAGGACAATTAGCCACCAGCGAGCCCCTGCAGACAGCGAGTTAATTAGGGGTTTCCTGCTCTCCGGCATGCCCTGTCCCAGCTCCTGCCCCCCAGGGCTCCTAGCCCTGATGGCACCTGGGCTGGCCCTCATGGCCACCTTCTCGCTGCCTTCCCAGGCTGGGGACAGGAGAGCAGTGCCGGTGGAGAAACCTCCAGGTGTGAAGGGAAGAACTCTCATTCTCCTTGATGTCAACACCAAGAGCCCTGTCAGGATAATCAGTGAAAATTTCCTCTCCCTGCAGCTGGACCCCTCCATCATTCATGATGGCTGGCTCGATTTCTTAAGGTAAGGCAGGAGCCCCCCGGCGCCCTCCCCACGCCGCCCTCGGGGCGCCCCGGCGGCCCCGCCGCCCAGCCCTGCCGGGCTCCGCGCTGCTGGCGGCGCTTGTTGTGACGGAGGGAGCGAGGCCATGGTTTCCATTAAGATGCACATGTTTGCAATGGAGAAAGCATTTCGGAGACTTATCAGTTATGACTGCAAAAATGTCGTGCTCCCCTCGCTCCAGCAACCGCTCCTCTGCAAAAAAGCACAACACGGGGCCGAGGCAGCACAGGGGAAAAAAAAAAAAAATCAAAATGGAACAAAAACCAGCAGTAGGAACAGGGCCGCCTGCCGAGCCGAGCCGAGCCTTCCCCGGGTCCCGACGGGCAGAGAGCGGGTGTCGGCCAGGTCTTCTGAGCCCTCCGCTCCCCGGACTTCCAGCCGTGCGCGGGGGGCAGAGCCGGGCTGCAGCTGCGCTGGGCTCCACCGGCGGTGCGGAGCGGCCGCGGCCTGGAGGCGCTGGGACGGCCAGAAAGCCTTTTCCCTGCTGGGTAAGTCGGGGAGGGAGAGCGGGTCTCCTCCGCACGCCCGCTCCGAGGGTCCTTTCGGCAGCCGGGGAAGGAGCAGGGCGAGGATGCGAGAAGGCGCGAGAGAAGCGGAGCCGGGACGGCTCCCGCTTTCCTCCCCTCCCCGCTCCTCTCCCCTCCCCGGCGGCTCGGCCCGCGGCACGGTCCCGCGTGGCGCTGAGCGCCTCTGCCTCCTGGACGCCGCTGCACTTGTCCGGAGGGCGCCGGCAGGACTGGGGGGAGCCGGGCCCGCCGGCCTCCGGGCCGCCACCGGCGGGCGGGGCGCTGCCCGCTCCGGGGCCGCTCCGCTCGGCCCGCGCACAGCCCCGCAGCCGCTGCCACCGCGTCGCACTGCCCCGGGCGGGGCAACGGCGGGTCCTCGAGCCCCGTGGTCCCCGGTCGCTGGCGGTGTTGGGGAAGCGAGGGCCCGGCCCGCGGCTTCCTCAGCCCTCTCTCTCCTCTCCCCAGCTCCCGGCGGCTGGTGACCCTGGCGCGGGGCCTGGCCCCCGCCTTCCTGCGCTTCGCGGGCAAGAGGACGGACTTTTTGCAGTTCCACAACGTGAAGAACCCGGCCAAGAGCCGCGGCGGGCCCGGCCCCGACTACTACCTCAAGAACTACGAGGACGGTGAGCGCCGGGGCCGGGGCGGGGGGCGGGCGCTGCAGCGGGGGCTGCGGGAGCCGGGCGGTCCCGCTCCGCCTGCCCCGCTCTCCCCGCGCCCGGCGGGGACCGGGCAGGGGAGAATTCCCGTACCCTTTCTTTCCCGAGAGAGGGGAGCCGAGGAGATCGGCGGACCTCGCTCTCCCCATTGCCGGTGGATTCGGCGGGTGTCGGGCCCCGGGAACAAAAGACCAGCACTGGGGAGCGGGACTTTTCACATTCCCCCGCCCCGCTGCGTCCTCTGTCTCCCCTTGCCCCCGAGCCCCGGGCAGGCAGCGCCGGCCGCAGAGGAGACTTTGCCGCGGCTCCGGGCGGGGCCAGGCATGGGAGCGCCGGGGTGCCCCGTCCCCGCTCGTCCCGCGGCTCCCGGGAGCCCTGCCTTTCCGCACGGACCTCGCCCTTGTGCGCCTTTCTGTGCCGCCGCAGCCCCTTGGGCTCCCGCTGTCCCTCCGGGCTCGGTGCCCGTCGGTCCCCGCGTGCCGGTGTCCGGTCGGGGCTGCTCCCCCTCCGAGCCGCTCGGCCGTCCGAGCTCTTTCCAAAGTCACCGCCTGGCTCCCGCCTTTCCGCTGTTCCCCTCTTCGCCGTCTGCCCTTCTCCCCATCGGACCTCAGCACACAAAAGGCTTTCACCTTTCGCGGCCCATAATTCACACAAAGAAACTGAGTAGAAAATTTAGGGCCGTATCTCCATCCTAAGGCATTTCTATTAAGAAGCAGAATACGATGTCCACATGCAAGAATTTATTGATTTTTCTCTCTTGCTTAGTTTGTTTCTTTTTTTAAAGAAACAAGCTTTTTTTTTTTTTTTTTTTTTTCTTTTTCCCTTGCTCAACGACTTACAAAAATTAGCTTAAGATTTTTCCATAAGTAGTTTTGAAGGCCAATTAATGCCAGACAGATCCCACTGGGCAGGTCTGTGGAGCAGAGGAAATTTTGCAGAGATCTAGTCAGCAGCAGTCCTGAATGGAAAAAGCAGATGCATTTGCCAGTTTTCTGATGGCTCTCACTCCTGCTGTTTTCCTACATAACATCCCTGAGATGAATGTCCTTCTATTCCCACACGCAGGCAGGTGGGTAAGCTTTTGTACTCCATCTTTCATTTGCTCTCCTAGCTGGGGCAATCCCGATGTTATTCCTTGTTTTTCTTCTTGTAACAAATCTCAGTCGAAGGGTTTGTTGTAAACTTTGCCTGCTGAGATGCACTTCAGGAAAAAATGCTGACCAAACTTGCCACAGACACCTTGTACAGTAGAAATTAAGTGTCGTGCATAAAGTTGTGGATGGGACTCATACAAAACATTTGTAAGAATAAATTTTCCCACCTTCCATATTTCAACAACTTGCAGGAGAGAACTTACACTTATTAAATGTCTTCACAACAGCTTTCATCTTAAGGAAGGACTGAAATATTTGGCTTTTTTTCCCCAGTTTTCCTCATGGCAATAAAATTGAAATGTAGCAGCCTTCAAAATGAAGCTTTTCATAGAAGTTGTAACCACAGGTCTTAACTTTTCATCACTTAAATATGGAACAGGACCATTGTGCATGTGGGTGAAGGAAGGGGAAGACACATGTGGTGTGTATCAAGCATTGGTGTAAATCAGAAAGGTGTGGTAACAGGGATTTCCTGCCTGGAAGCAAAGCTCTCGTATTTGTTCTTAAGATCTGTGTGCAAGCTCCAGGGTCAGGGAGTTTCACCCTATTTGGATAAGGGCTAGAGCTGCTAGTAGCTCACATCCTTTTGTGCTGAGGCTGCACTAAGTACTTCACTAGAGGGATCCAGATCTCCAAAATGAAATCCTGATGCCACCACAGCTCTTTGCCTTGCTGTCCTGGGTATGAGCAGCCACCTTCTCCATTTGGAGCCCTGGTTCCATTTTTGTTCCCTCACCTGTGGCTCACCCAGGACCTGCTTGGAATCAGGACATGCAGTTTGCTCTTGCTGCTGAGGACTTACAGCTTCAACAGACAGCACAGAAAACTGATGGCAGTCAGCACCTGAGCATGAGGGAAGCCAACAAGCATCCTGCTAGGTACCTTTCCTTTTCCCCAAGCTGTCTGGGCTGGTTGAAGTAGTTTTCCGTGTCCATGGGCTTTTATGTGTCCAGTACCTATTTTCTGAAATTTCTTATAGTGGCATGGGAGTGGAGAAGATGTTGGGGGGCTTGATTAGTTAAAAATGTCAGAAAACATTTAACAGAGAAATCAGTGAATTTTAAAGTCTTATGCAGCACCCTAGTGATCTTTAGGGATGTGATAAGTGACTGTTTGGTTGTTTTCTGCTTTGAGTGTTTGTCTTTTTGCCACTTCTGCCTGCGGGTGCACTCAGACTCCAGGCCTGTGCCCACAGAGTCTGGGCTCTCTTTGCAGCCCCCACGGGTGCTCCCATGCCTTGTGTTCTCCCGTGGCCTGTCCACAGAGGGGGAGAAGAGGGCCCTTATGTTCCTCTAAGCTGCAGCAACCCACAGAGTGCAGGGCTGAGAGGTGAAGGGCACGTGTGCGAGATTGCTCAGAGAGCTGCAGTTACAAGTGAGTGACTGTGAGTGGTGTTCACATCACAGGCAGCTGCACCCCACTGTGTGCTCACAGGCCACGCTGGTGTGGCCCTCAGGCATTCAGATGGGAGGCAGCAACAGCAACAGGACTGCTTTGTATCATCCTTCATGGACCCTGTGACCATGCTTGCTAGAGTTGGAATGAAGCTCTGTACAGGGATCATCATCCTGTAAACCCCCTCTGCCACCCTGGTGGTCTTCAGACCAGGTACTCCTCACTGTTCCCTTTGATGTTTTTTTCTGTCTCTGGTGCTCTGCCTTCCTGACTCCTCAGGGATTCACCTTACTCTTCTCCTGCACTTGAAATTGTATTTTATTCTCTTTCAAATGGTCCCAACTATGCACACCTCCACCTTCTGGAAATTGCTCATACCTTCGCCTGCCTTTGGGCTCACCAATCCATTCTTTCCCACTTCTTTCTTTCACAGAGAGTGTGAGTACTCTCTGAGGGTAATAGTAGTTGCTTTTGTCTTGTATCTAAAATGTGCTTAGTTTTCCTGAAATAAGGTTCCTCCTTTATCTTTCAGGGTAACTCATTTCTTGTTCA